TTTTAAACAGGAATTATTAAATTTCAATTATGTTGTTTTCTCAAGATTTATGAAAATATTTTATTCTGATTCAGGATCAAAACCTGAATAAAAAAAATGTTATTTGATTAGATTTATAGTTAATCAGGTTACAATAATCCTGTCTAATATAGATCTCTTCAACATGTCTCATAGCGTGTATTTGACAGTATTCCTGTAAACCTATCTAGTGTTTTGTAACAAGAAATAAATTATAGTTGTCGGATCGTGACTTACAAAAGTACCTATTTATGTTTTTAAAATTTTTGTTTTATTGTTGAGAAAAATCAAAATTTTTTCTTTATTCAATAACAAAATCGGATAAAAAGTGAAAAATGCATTTATATTTAGCGGTTTTTATTTTCATAGTTCATTTGTAAACCAAAATGTATAGCATATTCAGAGTCAGCGTCAAAGACTACGTTAAATTACATATGTTTCAGTAAAAGCTATTTTCAATGAGAAAAACATCTGTAGTTCTTCCAGGTCTATTTTTCTAAAATCTTGTCCCTACTCCTTCAAAGCGTCGGTTTTTCATATAAAAAACATTTTTTAAAACGTATATGATCCTATGCAGCTGTTAATTCGGATTCCGAATATGCTCTCCATTTTGGTTTACAAATGAGCCATGATAATAACAACTGCTGAATACGAATGCATTCTTTGCTTTTCTTTTATTTGATTTTGTTATCGACTAAGAAAAAAAATTGATTTTCTCATCAATAAAACAAAATTTAAAAACATTAAATAAGTACTTTTGTAGTTCACGATCTGACGATTATAATGAAGCAAAACACTTGCTTCTATCTCTTGTTACAAAAACTTAGATAGGTTTACAAGAATATATACAAATATGTGCTATGTAAGAGGAAAATAACAATCAGTATAATTATTAAACTTATTTTAGAATGATTATTCTCGGTTTAACTGGTGGTATTGCTACAGGTAAAACATCAGCTAGTGAATATTTTAAATCACAAGGTGTACCTATTGTTGATGCTGATTTAATTGCTCGTCTTGTTGTTGAACCTGATAAACCTGCTTATTATCATATATTAAAACATTTTGGTCATTTAAATATTCTTGAATCAAATAATCGATATATAGATCGAAAACGTTTAGGTGAAATTATTTTTACAAATGAACAAATGCGTAAACAATTAAATAAATGTACACATGGTTATATTCGTCGTGAAGCTCTTAAACAATTAATAAAATATTTTTTTCAATTAAAATCAATTGTTATATGGGATGTACCACTTCTATTTGAAGTTGGTCTTAATCGATATTTATCACATACATTAGTTATATCATGTGATCAAACAATTCAATTAGATCGTTTAAAAAAACGTGATGATATTAATGATAATCAACAAGCATTACAACGTATTAATGCACAAATGAGTTTAAATGAAAAATGTCAACGAGCACGTTATGTTATTGATAATAGTGGTACAAAAGATGTATTACATAAACAATTAAAAGATTTTTTATTAAATATTCAACCAAATCAATTAAATACTATAACATGGTTTATTATACTTTGTATACCAATGTCATTTATGTATGGTATTCTTCAATTTTTGGATTTCGTGGATGCAATTAAATATCGACATAAACGCTAGTTTTCTTTTTTTTTCATTTTATTCTTTGCTTTTTATTTTTTATTTTTCTTGATGTTGGCGCTTTGAAATTTAGTTGAATACAAAAAAAAAAATATATCTAATTGTATATTTTGTTTAACTGTCTCGGATTCTCTTTATGTATAACTGTTCTTCTATTCATAATAAACTTTTTTTTAATAATCAATTATCGATGAGATGAAGGCAATACGTCGTTCAAGACGACTTCGTTTGCCTCATCGAAAACATCAATTAAAACAGTCTATAGAAAGTGATAATGATGAATCTGATATTGAACATCAAATATTACAAGAAAAATCTATTATACGAAGTAATAAAAATGCTAATCGTATACCGACAAATTTATTTGATACAATTACAAATTTACCAATTGAAGAAAAACAAAATCAAATATTACATTCATCATCTAATCAATCGTCCTTATTTCTCTATTCAATTAATAGTATACAAAAACCAATAACTAATTCTGATGACCTTACACCATTGACACAAACAACAACTAATACAACACCACTTACAGCATTGACATATAGTAATACAAAACAAACAGAAACAATAAAAATTGATTTAACACAATTAAGTCGTACAGATATATTCGATAGTTCATCAGCAAATACTGATCATGATCAATCATTATCACTTGATAGAAAAATTTCATCAGCAAATATTAATAATAGAATTTCAAATATGAAAGATTTAACACAAATATATGATACAGATACAAGTATGAAATCTGTTGTATTTGCAAAAGATAATTCATTAGAACAAGAATTATCAGCATATCATAAACATCTATCATGTACTACTATTCCGGGTGTAGGAAATGGAGATTGTATGACGATAACATCATCGTCAATAGTTGAAGATATATTAGTACCAGTAACTGTAAACACAAATATAAATATTTGTCAACGACCATCAATTCGATGGCATCCATCTCGATGGAATTTACAAAATTTGACAAATAGATACAAAATTTTGATTAGTTGTTCATCATTAAGTTTAATTGTTGGAATTATGGTACTTGTACTTATTCTCTGAGCTTATCAATCGAAATAATATATATATATTTATATATATTTAGAATTATTCTATAAACTGGATTGAGGAAAAAAAATACACAATTATTGAATATAATCTTTTAACTTCTTTCGAATATTTTACGAGTAATTAAAATAATACTGAGTATAATAAATGATACTTTGCATGACATATTTATTGTTTCCTGCATAAAGAACGAGTTTCTATGTTTCACCCAAGTATACTGTTGAAATGCAAAACAAGAAAAAAATTATTCGATTCATCTGAGATTTGGGAATACATTGAATCGATATTTTTTTGGTACTTGATTGAAAAAGCTTGTTCATTTGTAAATTCTTTATATTCCTTAGAGAATAGTTGACACTGAATGTAATCATACAAATGATCGAGATAACTGATAGAAAAGAAATTCAAGAACTATCATATATATAATTGTTTCTGATCAAGTAAATATCAAAATAATCCACGGTTAATCTAATACTGATGAAACGGAACAAATAAATTATACAAAAGACAAAAATAATTCAAGAAAAAAAACTCTTCAAATACATAAATATAATAAAAAATTGGTTATGATTCACATTTTTCTGTCAATATTTGATATGCACTGCTAGAAACGATTTCATAATTAAATATAAGAGAAAATACACATTTCAACGAGATAAAACTTTATGTTTCTGTTAATGTTAAATTACTAATTTCATCGTATGTCAACATAACAGATATTATGGGAATAATTTTGTTCATATTTACGAATATGTCCCAATAGATACATTCAGAAAATAGAAAAAAAACCTACAGTTTCTTTACTATAGCTGAAAAGTTTGTTTTGTAATTAATGGTTCTTTCTTTTTTTTTTTATCAATCGTAATAGAACTCTAGAACACTTTATCATACGAGAATAGATCAGTTATAACTATTGATCGATCAACTTATAATAAGATGAACCCTTAGAGGCACACTTGCCGTTGTCGTTCACGCTTTTTCTGTAAAAGACTATGAACATAAAGGCACCAAATTCACACACATTATCTGATCACTTCTGTTTTTTTGACAGTAATGACGATTGTGTCTCATCATCTTCTTGAACAATCGATGACGACTCAATCGACGCTTGATGGTTGAAAAGAAAAGAAAATGCGAAATAACTGATGAATCGCTCCATTATGTTCTCGATAGACTCATGCTTCATTATCACTTTCAGTCGTTGGCTCTCAGTTTCTTTTTTTTGGATCATCAGAAGCGTAAGTACCGAAAGCTTTTACTGATGATGATGATGGTGTTGATAGAGCAGAAATTTAATGAAGGAAAAAGAAAACGAGAAGACTCTTCAACTAGCCCATCATCACACATATATACATAACACGCAACATTAACAAAGAAAAGAAAAAAAAAGACCAAGTATATGACACCTCATCGATCGAAAAGAAGAAGATTTATAAAGATTAATTGTTCCTGTCACAATTATCTTATTAATTCGTAAGATATACTAGTCATCAAGTTAATTGTTCATGACTAAAATAATCAATGTAATATTACAAGTTTGTTTTTTTCATTGTTCATGAGAGGAATTAAATATTAAGTGAATAGTAACAAAAAAAAAATGCAAGAAAAACAAGGAAGGTTTTTCTTATATATATATATGTAAGTTCTTTTTTAGCCGATTTCTTTCCGCTCTTCTCTTATTGCGTTTCCTCATTGTGCGCTTGCTTGCGTGTTTAATGTTGCGCATATTCCGTTGACGTCGCTACAACAGTCATCATCATCATCATCATCATCCTTTTTTTATTAGTACTCTTTTAAGTTGTTGAAGTGGAGGTGGTTTGCTTTGGTTTGCCTTTTTTTTTTCAACTGTAAAAAGGAATGAATGAATGAATGAATGAAAGCAAGGAAAAGAAAAGTACAAAGAGAAAAGAAATTCTGTTATGACTATTGGTATTTCATTGGTGGTGACCATTTTCTTTTCAATCATTATACAAGATCACGGGTAAATGTAATTGACTAGAATAAGACGAAGAATCATTTTTACATATAATCAAACTATACATGCGTACTGTAAACTGATTAAACAAATGAGAGGTAATAAGATTATTTTGTGTTGTCTTCTCAATTTAGCTAGCGGCTAATTAGAACAAACTGTCAGTTCCCTGATCTATAGCTTTTTCTAAATGGTGTAAATATACACAACACAATGTAGTTGATTTTTTTAAGTAATGATTGATGATGTTAATTGCCACATTTTCTATCGATGCATACATAAACTTGCTGTTGAACTGTGAACAAGTAACTTATTGTATTTCTCTTGCATTCGTTAAATCTATAGAGATTCATGAAGTTACACACGTAATCTGTGAGAATGAATAAGTGAATGGAGAGCAGTTATTGCAAGAAACAATAATGAATTTTCTGGTGAATTGTATTTCTATGCCATCCGTCAGCATAGCACGTTTTCCCCCGGTGGGCAGCAATAGCATGACCAAAAAGTCACACACATACATATAAACATGATTTCTTTTACCTCTCTCTCTCTCTCTCTTTCTTCCGTTCTTTCTCGTATCAGAATCTATTCATTTTTGTAACTATGACTGTTGCTGTTCCTTTTCATTGCGCTTCACTGTGTTCCTTCTTCTAGAATAATAAGCATGCTTGATTCTCGCTTTACCCAAAACAAAAACGGAAGTCCTTTACATTTGCTAATTAAGTGGTTCGACGACTAAGCAAATGTGCACTAGTAAGAAGAGAGGATAAAGACAGAGACACAGAGAGAAAGAGAGAGAGAGAGACAGAGAGAGAGAGAGAAAGAAGGGAGAAAAACGACGCATTTTCTTTCTTTGTAATGTATGCATATAAGCAGCTCTTCTTATTTGTATAGTAGTAGTAATTACGACTTGTAATCGTCATTATGAAGAAGAAGCGCACCGTCAAGGTTATTCGCACAATTTTTTGACAGCTAGTATGCGTTTAAGATGGATGAAAAATAGAAGTGCTTGATCAGTATAGCGTATCTTTTTTTTTTTTTTGTAATACTAGTAAGTGAAGAGAACAAATATTTGACTAAACAAGTTGTGAATTCGATTGAAGATTGCGCATAGCTCGTTCATGCGACAATTGACGCTTGTCAGAAAGAGAAAAACGGAAGTCATAAAACAAAATGTACGTTAACTAACACTAGCTAATTGTTCGATGAGTGAAAAGGATCGTAAATCGATTTTTTTTATCCCCCTACTTTTTTTTTGTACTTAACGATGGTATAATCGGACTATGAACGATGCAGAACATATAGAAAAATGATAATCAGCAACAAGTGTGTATGAGCACGGCAAGGATAGAGAGAAAAAAAAACATCTAGCAAACAGATTGTCAGGTAACTATTTAGAATATTTTCTCGATGATAAATCGTTTTCTTTGTAGAAAAAAAATCATCAGAAATCAGTTACGGCAAATTAGCTTCAAAATAGATCTCAGAACAAACGAATAAATGAACGATCAATGAGAAGAAAACGAGAGAAACCGACAGTATTGTTGTATACAGTGAAAATGAGCAGTGAATAACAGCAGGAGAAGAAGAAAAAAGATAATATCTGTTGTGGTGCATATTATTTCAAAGGGAACACTCGTCCTAATCAAACTGGCCTATGTCTTTTCCTACAACACTGTAATCATCATAGTAGCATTTATCCTCTTCTAATAAATGATGAGAGAAAAGAAAGACCGAGAAAGAGAGAGAGAGAGAGAGAGAGAGAGAGAGAGAGAGAGAGAGAAAAGCAGCGAGAAGATACAATAGAGATATTAGTGCATGACAAAATATTTTTTTGCGTTTCTTTATGTATTTAGACGTTATACTTCGTCGTTCTTTTATCATTGCAAGCAATCGATAATATCATCTTGATCATGTGGTGTTGATCTTGACGCGTAAAAAACAGATCATCTTTATCGTGCTGTTGATAGAACGTGTCATCAATATCAAAACTATGTTAGGATCTTATCAATTATTAGTACTCATCAAATTAATTCTCTTCGAGGCACTCGGACTAAGTAAGCTTCTTTTCTTTTCTTTTTTATTCATTTGTCTATTAGACCCCCGAAATGGTTTCCTCATGTACAAACAAACAATCACTGTATAACACAATTCTACGGATCCTAATAATTATTGTGCCATAGGGATGACATACGTATATCGAATAATAGCATAGAGCTTCATTCAACACCAAAATGAATACATATTTGAATTTCTTTACTCAGTTCATTTTAGTCTTCATTATTCATTGATGAGACTTTCAAAAATTCTTTTATCATTACTATAATAGTAGAAAAAAATATTGGCTTCCTTTCTTCTCTGTTTTTTTTCCTCATTCACACATATGTACAGACAAATGGTATTTCATCTATCAAAACAAAATGTATCTAATAACATGACCTTTTATATGAAGATAACTTGTCAACTAGATAATTGAATATTTCAGTTGATTCAGGTGTTGTCTGCGAACAGAATAATTAACAGTTGTCTATCTCTTTTCCTTGTAGTGTGTATTGAAGACGACTCATTTCGTCGTTATCGTCGACTACGTTCTTTGAGTGACGGTAATAGTTTATCCGGTACTCCATTTATCATTATTTCTGTATCAGTTGATGATTATTTTGCTGTTCTAAATTGTTCGACACCACAACGAGTATCACATGATAAACTTGATTGGTATTTTCAAAAACGTGCTTCTTTAACATCACCTCGTGTTATTTGGCAACGTGGTCGTTCAAATATTCATCGTTATTCAGCTTATTCACCTGATCAAGTTCAACATTATTTACAAATAAAATCAGTCAATTATAATGATAGTGGTACTTATATTTGTATTGATCAAACAACCGGTTTTTACGACAAAGTAGAACTTATCGTTCGTAAGTTTAATTTTATATATTTATTACATCATATATATGCTATTTAATTTACACTTGAAAGAATTTCAATAGTTGCTTTTCTTTTTACTTAATAGTAAAGTGTATAGCTTAAATTTAAAATTGAGTTTTTCTTCTCTTATATTTCTTTTTGTATCAATTGAAGTGCAAAATAATTATGCAAATTAGTTTTTTTAATCTAATAGATAATAATAATTTTAAGTAAATTAAATTTTTCTTTTTCAAAAGATTAAGCTATTAATCTGACAGGTATCTTTTTTATTTTTTAGGCGACAGTCGCAGTTGTGCCGGGAGTGCTATTCGTTTACAAGTGACAATGCTTGTCTCTTTCGTTTTACTTTCATTATTCTTATCCAGACGAACAGCAAGTGAGAGTCAAGTAACATGATCACTTTTCATATTTTATATTTATATACATTATACTTGTCAATGCACGTCTTCCATCCGTCAATGTTCTCACTTTTTATACCGAAAAAATGAATTTCAATTAAATAAATATACAAATGGGATATACAAATTTATACTGCAAAAGAAATCTCAGCATTGTATTTTTTTGTTTTGTTCTATCTTCTTATTTGTGACTGAACGATAATAGCATTGCATTTTTATAATGAAAAATGCAAATTCGATATTGCCTTTTTTTTTATATATACGTATATATATTATTATAAAAATATGATCACGTTTACAAACAACTAAATGTTATTCTATTGATATGCAGAACAGATGATATTAATAATAAGTTCTTTCATAATCATTGTTTCTCTCTTGTTTTACAAGAAAATAACTATATATTTGTTCTATTATCTAAGATGCTTAGTATTACTATTTGCAACTCATTGACACAAGTAATCTATCACAAAAAAAAAAAAAAAAAACGAAACATTTTAAACAGTTTTACAATTGAAGCAACTATTCAATGAAAATGTCTTCGATTATAACCGGATTATTATGCAATAAAATCAAAATTATAATCAACTTAGAACTTTTTTAGCTGTTTTTAATGGTCAAAATCTCTTAAGTCGATTATAATTTTGAATTTGTTGCATAATAATCCGATTATAATCGAAACATTTCTCACTGGATAGTTGAAATCGTATTTTTGTAAGCAAAAAAATGTCAAAGGAAACATTACTTTTCGATCAAATCAACATGTGCAAGAATGAATGTATATGATTTGTTAAGATGTATTTAATTACTTTCCGACCTATACCCTTTTATTATATACAGATAAACCAACAAACAACACAAATACACACCATTCATTTCATATTCTTGGATTCAATATATTTAAAACATTTTGTTTTTGATTAATATTAAATTTCAATGATTAATGAAATAGAGAATAAATACAGCGTATCTCAACGCCAATAGCACAATGTTCAAACGACAGCAAGAAAATTATAACGATATGTATATGTATATATGTATGTAGAGAGAGATTGCTATTCAGAGAAAACAAACAACATTACAATAATGGAATACAACGTCGAAAAATGGCCAATAGCATGAGAAGAAAACAGATCAATATAGAATATAAATAAATAAGACTTTCTCATTGAAAGTAGACAAAAAAAAAGATTTCTTGTTATCGAATGAATCTATTTTTGCATGAATAAGAAAAAAGCATTCAAGATCGAAAATAAATGGAAAAAGCATGTGACAGAAATAAAAACCCAGGGAATGACTAGGTGAAATGGAACAAAATTTGTGTTGTTTTTTTCTTAATATCCTAAAGGTTTTTCAATAGTGGT